GAGGGCCTTCTCTGCGGTGGCGCCCCATCTATGGAATGCGCTCCCCAGAGAGGTCTGCCTGGCGCCGTCTTTACATGTTTTTCGGCACCAGGTTAAGACCTTTTTATTTAATCAATATTTTAATAAGTTTTAATATTGAATTTTATCATCATATTTTAATTGCAGCCAGGGTGGGTCATTAATTAATTAATGTTATGTTAGATATTTGTATTTTATTTGTGTAAGCTGTCCTGAGGCTCTTGCAAAGGACAGCATACAAATATCCTAAATAAATAATTATGTCCTACTTCCAACCTTTCAGTGCATGATTGAAAAAACCCCCCTGTACTTTTCTTTAATGTACACCAGTGCACCTCAATCAGTGGGTGAAGATTGTGTACCCTTCAAAAAGATGTACAGTTAGGAAAAGGCTCACTAAAATATATATAAACAAGGACACACTGGAATTCGAGTTGCAATGTGTAGAACTTCGACAAATGCAGTTTGCTTGCCTGCATGTTGCCATGAAAAGAGCAGGTTTTACCTTCTTCCCCTCTAGTAAGAAAAGAAAAACTTGAAAATGTTCAAATAACCTTAGCTGTGCCCTAGAATTAGCCGCTTTTCATCTCCACCAGCTCTGCAGTGCGTGTTCCAGTGGGATTCTAAACACACAGATATCCCTTTACTATTTTTTTTACAAAATCTTGGCTTATTCAGAAGCTAGAAAAGAAATACTCTACCTTTAGCAATGGAGAATGCAACTGATTATTTGGAAAAATGGTGCAAAGAATTCAACCTTTTTGGATTCTCTCCCTCCCCACATTTTTGCTAAGTCTGGAATTCGATGTTTTGCAAGGAAGGCAAGATGTGCCCTGCCCTGTTCTCCTGGCTGTCTGAAGAGCAATTTGCCTTCAGGAAGAGGAAAGGGGGAGACAGAGAGAGGGGCAGGGATGAACCTTGGAAATGACATCAAAACCTTTAAGGGAAGGGAAGGGAAGGGAAAGGTGGGGTGTCCCTGAAAGACACTCTGGGGAAGAGAGGCGGAGGAAGAGTACCACTGAGAATCTTCCCTACAGAAGATTTAAACAGGCAGCCTGGCTGCTCCAACATCCTCTGGGGTTCCGTTGAGAAGGCAGAGCAGCTCTCCGTGGTGCTGAACCTGTCTGGGGGCATTTGGAGCGACTTTGGAGAACTCCTTTTAAGTTCTGGCTAAGGCAGCTTCTCTGGCACTAGAACTATTGCTGGCAGCTCCGACACCCATCGCAAAATTCTTCCATTTTATTTATTTATTTATTATGGTTCTCTCTTGCATTTCCCCCTTCTCTCCTTCTATAGAAGGCACTAGGCTGGAAAGGCGCACGAAGCCGAGGAATGCCCGTTCATTTAATTCTGGAAACGATTGCCTCTCTTTCCCGGCTTTCTTGACTCACACAACCTTCTTCCTCTCCATTTGCATCCGCACAACAACCCTGTGAGGTAGCTTTGGCTGAGAGGCAGCTTCTGCCTGAAAGTCACCCAGTGAGCTCCATGGCCTGAGTGATGTCAGGCCTAGCATCCCGGTGTCCCAGGCCAGTTCTCTAACCACTGCACCACACTGTCTCTCTCTGAAGGAGAACCGTGGGCAGGCATAGGGATGGCATCAGAGGCAGAGAGAGACAGCTGGCGCTGGGAAGCCATGTGGCGGTGCCCTGGCCTGTCAGCCTCCAGTCCCACCAACAGGCTTTCTGGGGGATTTCTGGTTCCTAGCAAGTTAGTCATGGGGGCTTTACCCCTGCAGAGCTTACTGAACCCCCTCCCCCATGAGAACAATCCCCGCACAGGAAAATTTGGCTGGACTGGGAGAACCGTTCCAATGTGTCCTTTTACCAGTGCATTAGAGGCTGGGAAGCAACGCTCTTCCAAGCGGAGGCAGGGGGCTAGCCCTTAACAGACAGTGCCGTGCTCATAACACTTGTGAGCAAAAATGTGTGTGGAACACGATACAAGCAAATTCCAACAAGAAGGAGCTTGCCGGCACTCCTCAGACGAGTGTGCAGTTCAGAGAGCTGCTCTCCAGCAGGTTTTGCAATTCCTTCCTGTCGCAAAACGACTCTCGGCCCGAAGCAGCACCAAAATGCATTTAACAGCTCGTAGTCTGAGAGGAGGTGTCGTTAAAAGGACATCTATAAAGACTAGTTATGTGTCATTTTAAAAAATGACAGAACTGAGGCTGTCATAGTTTGGGAACATCGTGAGAAGGCAAGACTCCCTGGAGAAGACAATCATGCTCGGGAAAATTGAAGGGAGAAGAAGAAGAGGAATATCAAATGAGAGATGGATGGACTCCATCAAAGAAGCCGCAGCCTTGAATTTGGAGAAGCTGAGCAGGGCTGTCGTGGGCAAGACATTTGGGAGTGCTTCCACTCACAGGGTCGCCATAAGTCAGAGATGATTTGATGGCACATAACAGCAACAGAGAATGGGATGGAACAGATCTGGACAAAGGCGGGTGAAACGGACATGGAACGGAAGCAGAATGATTCTCCCACGCTGCTGCGAAGAGCCTGTAAAAGTGACAGGACCGGTGCAAACAGCCCTCGCTGCCACTTTTCTGGACCCATAAATGCCAAGTTCATTTTGTTTGGGTTTGGGATGTGTGAATGCCATGAAATCCATTCCATTCCATCATTTTTTGCAAATTATCAGGCACCTTTTGTTCCATCATCCACAGTGATGGAATTAGAATTTGGACAAATGCATTTGTACACACGGGTGCAAATTGAGATTCCCCCAAATACATAAATCCTTCCCAAATAAGGCCAAGATGCTTGTAGCGAATGGCCTATAAAAGCTTTCAATCAATCAATATCCATATCTCCCAAAATACATTCTTTCCCACATTACCTTATGGGAAAAAATGCACATTTGTGCTGTTGTGTATGTGTGTGGAGGGGGGCGGCATTTTTCTAGACCGAATTTGTATAAAATTATAGGATTTTTTAAAAGTCTATAAATCTACAGATTCCATGCAACTCAGAAAAAGCCAGTCTGTTGTAGTTCAGAGTCTTAGAAACTCAAACTTACCTGAGCCTATTGCAAATTTTTCTGATATGGCTAATTTTGGTTGAAATAGCCAGCAGTATCTCACACGGGTTTCTTCCCTTATTTCTTGGCTATTATTTTACTAGAGGAACCAGGTAACATGCAGTGGTTATCCTCGGTTTATCAATTCATCCATCAACACAAATACAGTCACAAATGAAGCTCGCTTCTCTCTTTGGGGGAAAGAAAAAACCACAAAGTGGTAATCTATTTTGAATGCACCCAGAAAGGACTTTCTCCAAGTACCACCTCCAAGAAAGGCTTGGAGAGCATCAACAACGGGGCTAGTCCTCTCCGTGGTGGCCCCTGATGGTCACTTAGGCCCACCCGGTGCTAATACTGTTATCTTTTTAGCACCAGGTTAATACTGAGCACAATTTCCTGGCATTTCAGCCAAGACATTCTTCTTCTTTCTGTACATCTTTTCCCATGTGTGTATTTTATCTTGTATAACAGTGCTTAGAATCTACATTGTCCGTGCTCCATTCTATGACTGCAATATTCCAGCTGACATGTTTGGTGCTTTACACCTTCTTGATCTGAACATATTCTCTTTTCTACTTTTGAACCGTTCACCCTCCCCGTCCGTGAAATTCATAAAGGCCTAGGAAAAATCAGCATTTCAAGTGCAGTATACTGGGCAGCATGAAAATAGCGTATCCTTTTGCTTTCTTCCCTTCATCACCAGAGCTGTACCTGATATTCTGCGAGGTGCAGACACACTGAAAGGGAAGGGCCATCGCCCTCGGAGAAGGAAGGAACACACGTCCAGCAAGGCTGGTAGCCACCAACCACCTCCTCGTCGTGAATCAGTCCAATCCCTTTTTGAAGCCATCCAGATTGGCAGCCATCACCACTTCCCATGGCAGCAAATTTCGCAGTTTAACTATATGTTGTGTGAAGAAATCTTTCCTCCTATTTGTCCTAAATCTCTCCACAATCAGCTTCATGAGGTGACCCCAGAGAGGGAGATAAATGTCCCCCTCTCTGCTATCTTCACAGGATGCATAATTCTAAACTGCTCTGTCCTGTCTCCCCTTCCTTGCCTTTTGCCTAAGTTGAGCGATCCCAGCTGCCACGGCCTTCCGCACAGGGGAGCTGTTCAGTCCCCAGTCACTTCTGTTGCCCATCCTGTCCTTTTCCCATTCAACAATGTCCTTTTCCAGGTAAGGTGACCAGAACTGAACACAATATTCCACGTCTGGGTGCAACAAATAGGTGGGTTAGCCCTGTAAGATTTGGGCAGTTCTGTTTTCTACCCCTTTCTGCTTTCCGTTCAAATCACCCCGTCTGAATGGGTTTGCGGTTGAACACTATACAAGAATTTCCAACCTGTATGTTGCAAAACGTATCTTTGAATCAGGCACCCTTTTGTCTTGGTGAAATCATGCTTACATTACCATGATTCCTACGCCTCACCCTTTGTCTTAGCTACACCAGAACTGTCTGCAAGCCATCCCGAGACTTTTAGTATTGGGATGGCAGATAAAACAAACAAACAAACAAATCTATTATAGCCATTCCCCGTAGGGGAGTCACTCCAATCCCTTGATCATTTCAGTTGCCTTTCTCCACACTTCTTCCAACTCAGTCAAGTCCTTTTTCGGGTGCGGCAACCAGAACTGCACACAGTGTGGGCGCACCAGCGAGTACAGTCTTGGCAGTGCAATTTTCTTTTCCCTTCCTGATTAAACCTAACATGCATCTCTCTTTTTGCTCACCAGCTGAGCACTGGCCCAAGCTCTCCACCGAGATGCCCACGTCCCCTTCTTGCTCAGCCACAGCTAGCCCGAATCCCACCAGCCGACGTCTGAGGCGGCATTCGCTGCCCCGGCATGCATTCCTCCACGCTTGCTCACACGCGCCGTGTTGATGCCCTGCTGCCCTCCCGCTTCAGCTGCCCCTCCCTCCCTGCCCCGCGCAGCACCAGGCTTACTCACGGAAGTGTTCTGGCACTGGATGCTGGAGCTGTTGAACCGCAGGGCTGGTACCCGCTTCTCGTTGCCCTGGATATTGATGATGCACTCGTAACTGCGCTGGCCCGACTGAGGCTGCGGCAGGTTCTTGGCCTTCAGCGTGATGGGCTTCACCACTTCCACAGGCACCAAGATCTTGTTGGCTTGCAGCAGCTGGGGGCAGTCCTGGAGGAGAGGCAGAGCAGGGTTAGGAAAGGAACCACCCTTTCCACGTTGGGAGAGCCATCCAGAGGGACCACGCCACTCTAGAGGCCTTCTCCCGGACCTGTGCAACCTGCTTCTGCTAGGTTTGATCCTCTGCCCCAAGTTCCATGTCTCATTGTTCTTTCATGAAAGGCAGCGACAGCACCTTGTCCTTCTCCCCACTAACTTGGAACAAGGAAGCTACTGAGGAACACAAAGGTTTGCTTCTGACTCTTTAAAATGGAAGAACAGCCCTGCAGGGTGTCAAAGCACTCACTCGGTCCTTTTGTGCCCCAGATAATGTTCTCACTGCCCTGTGACATTAAATCTCTCTCTCGGTTTTTGACCACTGCCTGCAAGATTGAGACTCATCACTAGAATCATGACCTGTTGGAACTTTGGATGGAAAGTGTGGGGCTCCCTTGGGTTAAAACAACAACAACAACCACCTCCCTGTAGCGGATGATGGAGAAAATCCCTCATTTTTGGGAAGGGCAGAGGGAAAACCAAGATGGATTGCTGGCGTTCAAGGAAGTTGGAGAAAACGTCAGTTTTTTCAAGTGATGTCTATGAATCTATGTCGGTGACCAGCAGATCCCTTAGCAGATTGGCTTTTTCCAAACAACAACAGATTCTGTGAATTTGTAGGTGGGTTTTTCACTTTTGCGGGGGTGGGGATGCAAATTTGAAAATGCACCAATGTGCACAATGGTGCTAATGCACATCAGTTAATGCACATCAGCCTATTGAAGCATGAGTGAAGTTGTGCAAATTCTGGGCTTGAAAAATCTGATTCTATGCATGAGCGGCCAATGGAATCAACGGCACTTGACATTCCATGAACTGTGAAAATTCAGACATTCCTACCAGTGCTGCATTTGGTGATTAAACAGTTCAAATTTTCAGCAGCTGAGTGGCTACTGGGACTATTCCAGCATTTCTAGTACCAGAGGAGGAATGTGAGCAAGAAGATCTGGTTTTATTTTTAACCTGCTTGGAGGCTTGTTTGGAAGGCTGGTTTACGGCTGCATGAGCTGAATGCTGGACCAGATGGATCCCAGCTCTGACCCAGCAGGGTTCTTCTTACGTTCCAAATGGGCAGCAAGACCACATGAGGAAGAAATCAATTTGCTTCTCACTTTAACATGAACTTACACAATCTCACACTTAGAAACCAGCGCACAAACCAAAGCACAGCCATCCTTCACACATGCAGTGGAATTTTCCAAAGGGGGAAAATGTATACAAGAAGGTTTGCCTTAGGGGAAAGCACAAAATATGCATACTCCTGAAAAAAATCCTTTAACGAGGCATTGAGAGGAAATGGGCTTGCAAACATGGCATGTAAAGCCAACTCTGTATGGGACTCCAGCTTTGGATTAATGTGTATTAAAAGACCTAGTGTTATTCATATAAACTATCTAAACATCTCAACGTTTGGGATGAAGTAACTTTTGGATTTAAAAAATGAGAAATTGAGAGCAAGCAAGAGATCAAATCAGTCAATCCTAAAGGAAATCAACCCTGACTGCTCTTTAGAAGGTCAGGTACTAAAGCTGAAGCTCCAATACTTTGGTCACCTGATGAGAAGGAAGGACTCACTGGAGAAGATCCTGATGCTGGGAAGGATTGAAGGCAAAAGGAGAAGGGGACGGCAGAGGCTGAGGTGGCTGGAGTGGTGGGTGTGGGCTTGGGTGTACTCTGGGGGATGGTGGAGGAAAGGAGAACCTGGAGGAATGTTGTCCATGGGGTCACAAAGAGTCGGGTATGACTTTGAGAATAAACAACAAACCTTAATAAATTTCTCTGTCCCTAGAAAAAACAGGGTTGCTAGAAAATTCCACTGTCTGCCTCAAGCACTCGCTTGCTGCTTCTATCATGTTTTCTCTGCTCTCAGAAGTCAACAGTGAAAGGAGAAGAAACAACAATGTGGAACAACTTTGTGCAGAGATCTGAGGAGCTTCAGATGAAAAGGGGGCTTGGAAGCATGTGCAGATGCTCGGCATGCATTCATGCAGCTCTGAAGCAGCTCTTTGGCTCAACAGGTTTCCGCTAAGTTGGACATGCACCATTCTTAGGAAAGGCTGTTTCATCCCCCTGCACCATTTCGAGGAATGAATGCAAGGGACTTGCATGGGTCTCAGCGTTGAAAATGGGGCAGGAAATGCAATGGAATGGTTGACCCAACTCTGTTGTGTTTCCTTCATTCCAGCTTGGACCCATGGATGGAAGGGAATATTCACCACCTGATTTTAATTCCACCAATTTGCATTAGCAGTAATTTTGGATTTGGGGGAGATCAACAGTAGAATCAGGCATTTCTTGGGAATTCACCCCCAACTGGCTTTCCCGGGTCATGCGCACATCATGGAGTTCGCAGACCATTAAAAACTATGTGTGTTTTTGTGCAAATTTAGCTGCAGAAATGCACACACACATGAACTGGTCAAAAAGGTGCAAATTCCCACATAAATTAAAGCCTGAAAAAGTGCATTATGGGGGATGCATAGCACATTTGCAGAAGTGAGGATTTGCACAAATATGCAAGAACACATTTGCACAAATTCTAAGTCTGCATATGGATAGCAGAAAGACCGTCACACCAATATCTGTGAATTGCCAGCAAAGTAGCCTTATCTTCCACATGCACTAATCAACAACACTTCACTAACGCGTATTAGTGCCAATTCATATTAGCAAATGAGCATTTTGCTCGTGTGCATTTGCATGAATTCGCCTCCCGAGTGAAAAGCCAAACAACACATCCATGGGACCCACATGACACAGACAAAGCCAGCCTGTTGTGGAATCCTCTGGTTGGATTTGTAAATGTCTGAACTGATCTGACTGCTTTGCAGATTCATCTGACCTCCCTAATGAAAGTGCTGGCAGGAAAGACATGGAAAGCTAGATGGCTTGCGGAGATGGGATTCTCACCACGGCAGATGGGCATGTGCACCATATGGGCACAAACAGTTTAGCAAGACAAGAACAAGGATGAGCTGCAAACATCTGCAGGAACCCCAGCAAGGAATGGCGTTACGAGGACCGACAATCACGCTCTGATGCATCCGGAGTGGAGGGGGTGTGCACCGGAGCGTGTGAGAGTGCTTGCGTGTGTGCAAGGCATATGCCCATTATGCTGTACACCCAACATCTTCCATCTCAAATTTCACCAAAGCTTAGCCAGCGCTTTCTTTTCACATGGACACTTTTCCTTTTTGTAAGTGGCTAAGTCGATACCAACTACAAATTCGATATTTATTTATTTATGATAGTCACAGCATTTATTTACACATACAGTATAAGGAAGACTGATGGTTTCCAAGATGCAATTCATATTTTAGGTGATTATCCTGACTATGTATATTTATTTAGGCATTTAATTATATAGAGAGAGGGCGGGGGGGGAAGGGGGAGTTATATATATCCTCGTTCCCATCAGCTCTAGGTGGTCTTGCACTCTGGCATCAGCAAGAAGAGATCTTGGCCTTCCTCTTTGTGACAGCCTTTGAGGTACCTATAGAGGGATCCCATGTCCCCCCTCAGTCTTCTCTTCTCAAGGCTGAGCATGCCCAGTTCTCCGCCTCTCCTCACAGGGCAGGGTTTCCAAACCCTGGGCCATTTTTGTCGCCCTCCACTGGACCCTCTCTAATTTACCTGCATTGAATAGTAGAGGAGAAAGGAACCAAGAAGGCCATTGGAGCCAACTCCCTGGGGTCACATGCCACCACTTTACACCATCTCAGTCATATTTATAAGAGATTAAACCCAACAATGATTAAAAATTGACTAGAAACAAGTATATTAAATAAAATGAATCTGGGAGCTAATTTGGGAGGGTCTGTTGGACAAGATACATCTTGAACTCCCTCTGGAAGGAAGCCATCTTGGATACTAGGCATATCTTTCCCAGCAGACCATTCCACAGTTTAGGGGAAAGTCTATTGGGTACTTGACATTAGTCTTACAGAAGCAAACTTCCTAAGATTACCCCTGGAGGACCTTCGTGGGTGAGGTGGAATATATGAGGAATGCACGCATGTCAGCAAAAATGCGTACGTGTCTCAGACTAAAATGAGATTGATACTGAACATACTTAGTGGAAAAAAGTTGAGCTCTGCTAAACCAGAAGAGCAGCTATCAGCTGTTCGCATGCATTTCTTCATCAGACTACTAAAATGAATTAATGCGCCAACAGTTCATAGCAGCTTGGGGTTTTTTTTTCCTTCTCCTTCCTAAATTTCACCACTTCCTAAACTCCGCTCTGGCTCAGATCTGGGGGACGTTTTCCCCCTAAGCCTGCAGCGGATTCAGTCCTCAGGCTGCTCTTCCACGGGTTGCAGCCCTGAGACTCACACGCCTCCAGAGGCTGATGAGTCCCCAGAGCAGAGTGGAAGGGCCCCGTGGCCACCCTTTCCCCTCCGCACCTCCCATTCTGCGACGCAGAGGCCCCAGCCCCCTGCCCTCCCTCTTCCCTCGCTCCCCTCTCCAAATATACTGCTGCAGCGGCTGCAACAGAGCTCCTGTTTCGGTCACCGGATCTGGAAATCCAAGGTATCCTATGTCCCCCTAGAGATTACTGTGGGGGCCACAGGATCACTGCCCATGTGTGGAGTATTTTCCCTTGAATGCCTCAAGTCGCATACATGGAACAAAAGAATTACATGGGATATTTGTTTTTAGCCTCTTTACTAAATGCAGGTAAAGTGGATATGCTGAATCATTTGTTTGTTTATTTATAGCCCACCCATCCCCAGGGACTGGATCAACCAAGAGCAGGGAGCAGCCATCTGTGGCCTTCCAAATATTTTACCCTATGGCTTGCAGCAGCTCTGGGACGGAAGGGGTAGCGTAAGGTTTCTGGAGGGCCACGATAAAGTCTAACCCTGCTCCTGAAATTTTCCAGTGCAAACCGTCTTGGTTTTGCTTTTGATTTTTGGAAGACCCTATACAAATAACCGTGGTTTGTGCTGGATTTC